AAGCTGAGTCTTGATTATGTACATATAACCCAAAAATTTATTCCGTTTCTTAATCTCAATCTTCATCTTAATAAAAAAAAAGTTCAATCCAATCGCTGAATTAATATAGAAAACTTAAAAGTTCATGCATACAACAGCTGATACAAATGTGCAAACTGTAAAGTTTCCATACCCTGCATCGATGCATAATGTAATTTAATTTCACCTTGGCATGGATGCAGAAACACACACCGTCCATAAGCGTTCACTTTTTTTTCGCGCCTAGCGGATATCCATAACAAAACCGTTATATTTCTTACCCACCAGCACAAACCGAATAATCAATAGTGTAAACACGCAGGAATCCATGAATGGAAGATAGGAATGAAAATAAAGGAGCAAAACTACCTAGCTGCCACCACCACCCACCAACCCATTCTCGCACATTGCATTGCACCATCCTTTCCATTCCATCCTTCGCAAGTAGATGGGATGAGATTGTGTTGGGTGGGATGGATGAGATAGAAGGGATTCAGATCAAGAAAGAGAAGGGATAACAACGGCGAAAAAGCGATGCAAGCAAGACAAGCAATAAATTTAAAAAGTGAGATGGAGAAAAAAACTTATTCGCGCTCTGCAGCTCTGGGTGCAATCCACACTCCCTCTCCTCTTCTCACACGTAGCATCTAGCATCCCGAAGGATGATGTCTCCATCCTCCGTTCGGGAAAATAGTAGGTAATTCAATGAAATCGACTCGACACCAAAACCAAACAACCAGACCAGGCAAACACAGTTGGCGGTGGCAATGCTCTCTTTTTCTAAAAATATTCAAGATACGAATGAAACGCACACCACCGCAAAGTCCGCAACGGACAGAGAGCACCAGAAAGGGATGACACCAAACCATATGCAGTTACGTTCCATTGCCGTGCAAAACCGAGAGATCGACGGCTACTACACATCGAACGAAAGAGAGGAAAGCGACAGTGCTTTCGAAAGGGCGTAGTTGATGGAATGTTTATAATGTCCGATGATTAAATTACCATTATACATTCTAATTGGGTTCTTTAATTTTGAAAAATATATCGATTGCTATACATCATCTGAAGGAACTTCGTTTTCTGAGCACATCCATATTTTTTCGAACCCGTAGATTTTTATCTCGATTTTTAAATCAAGATTTAAAGCAAAATAACCACTTCAATGTTTGACACAAAACTAACAAATTGAAAGCACGCTCCCATACAAAGTACTACCCAGGGGCGCCAAGATGGTGATTTTTGCTAATGTAATCACACTTATTTAAATGTGATCCAAAATTGGCAGACGCGAACCAGCCAAAGGCTGAAAACTTCTATAATAAAGAAAACTAACTCTTCCCAAAATCGATGAAATTTTGGATTTCGGTTGCATTTGTAATGCAGATTACGAATAATACCACTAAAGAACCCAATTGGGTTCATTTATTTTGAAAAATATATTGGTTATTATACATCATCTGAAGGAACTTCGTTTTCTGAGCACATCAATATTTTTTCGAACCCGTAGACTTTTATCTCGATTTTTAAATCAAGATTTATAGCAAAATAACCACTTCAATGTTTGACACAAAACTAACAAATTGAAAGCACGCTCCCATACAAAGTACTACCGAGGGGCGCTAGGATGGTGATTTTTGCTAATTAAAATAGTTCCATTTGTAATGTAGATTACATATTCGTAATCTGCATTACAAATGGAAACGAAATCCAAAATTTCATCAATTTTGAAGCACTGGAACTATTTTTAACCAGAGTCAATGTTATAATAAGAGTCCCTTCAAGAGTGAAACCAGAAGTACCAATCGAACTGTCAAGCGGGGTACCAAACAAGCAAAGTAAATAAACACTATTGTTCCCACAGCCAGTGAACTACAAGTATTGCATTCATTACTGACAATATTTTAGTAATTTTAGATGAAAAACATTTCTTCGCTTTATTTAGTACATTGTAGTATTTATAAGTTATAGGGGAAATGGCGCTAATGTTGGCCTTTGGATCTAAGATTGGGCCCATCGCTAAAAATCTGCTATTTTATCAATTCTGGATCAACAATAGAAAAGGGCCCATCAGCATTTGTAAACAAACCGTTCCAAAGCTTATTCCTCACAAATCGAAGGCCGCCCATACAAACCAACACCATCATCGTGTAGTTAGAGCTTCCCCTATCCAATGATGGTGTTGGATTGCGTGGCTAGCCTTTGCTTTGTGAGTAAAGGGCTTTGGAACGGTTTGTTTACAAATGCCCATGGGCCCTTTTCTATTGATGATCCAGAATTGTATCTAGATGAACGCATCATTGGGACGGTACTAATGGATATTTTTGGTTGCTATTGAAAATTTAGTCTATTGCTGAATTTGTGTATGGGCCTAAATTAGGGACACTTAGACTGACATTACATACATTTCCCCTACCAAGCACTTTTTTGAGCATTTTTCAGGTTCTATCATTGTTTTTGTCTCCCAGAAGCTCCGTTATCGACATGACATTTTTCACTTCTGAATGAAAGTCGAGGGCCGGCGACTCTATCTACGATGAAGGAAACATTGTTTTTTGCTGTGGTTAGCTGAGCGCACGCTGAGTAGATAGTAAGAAGATTTATGACGATTCTGAAGATTTCTTGCAAAAAGATGATGCACGATGCAAGTAGATGCGGGAAATGAAAGAAGATTTTTCGAAGATTGATTAGCTAGTGTGAGATTTGTTGAGCACCTAGAATTGAGATTTAGATGTGTCGGTACGATGAAAGTCATCCGATGCTAACGCAAAAAATCTGGTTGCCATTTACTCTGACGAAAAATAAATCACAAACAGTGCTGCTTATTTGCAACATTTCTAGACTAACATTTGAAAGGGGCGTAAGAGCCAAAATGTAAACAAACCATATTTTGCCGCATATAGAGAGAATAGTTCACAAACTACTCGATAAACACGAAAATGTAGAAGAAAATATCACTTCAAATCATCAAAAACGTTTCTTCTTACATGGCGTATTTCCAACTTTCAACTCTATGATGCATCTGGTTGTTACGCCTTGCACCAGAACTACGAATTATATCGTTTTAAATGCCAAACGTATTGAGTCTGTAGTATCTAGTCACGCCCGATTCATTTGAAATGCATCCGATTGATAGTTCACGTGTAAACAACGAACAAAAAGAAGACCAAAAAATCTCCGGGCGTAATTCCACTCTCACAAAATTTGCGAACGAAGAACCAAGGCGGAACAACAAACAAAATATCCCGAGGGTGTACTTCCACGGCGTATCACCAGTGTTGGCAGTTCAAAGGGTGGATGATCCGGGGGGTAACAACATGTATGAAATTATCAGGGCGTATGATGTTTTCTTCTCGATTTCACGACAAAGAAAACTTTTTTTGAGTTTTTAGTGATGCATGATGATAGATTACACTATTAACTATATGTCAAGCTTATAAAATCATCCAGAAAATGGAAAGTCGTGAAATAGGATTAATTTTTAGGTCATCAAAATTCAGAAGCGATTTTCTCGATATGGTAATTTTGGAATTACGCCCTTTTCAAATGTTAGTCTAGATTTCCTCTTGGTGGGACTTTTAGGTTGTGTTCCATTTGGAAAATTTTCACTTAGATTTGACACTTCGAAAATAAATTAAGATGTTCGAAAATCCCTCTGTTGTTGATCGGCCGATTTCCGAGAAAAGGTCTGTCAAAATTAATTTCATGTCTGTCAGAAATAAGTCTGCTGGAATAGCAGGTTTATTTGATAACTTTACATCTGTCAAATTTAAGTAAAAATTCACCAAATCTCGATTACTTTTTCGAAGGGTCGTATCAGCTTTTGTAAACAATGCATTTGACCGTCAATTTGGCGTAACTGGTAGCTCGCCCACGCATACTAACTCTACCATCAGATAGGAGAAACTTTACCCTACCTGATAGTGGTGTAAGTATGCGTGGACGAGCTACCAGTTACGCCAAATCGACGATCAAATGCATTGTTTACAAAAGCTGATACGTCCCTTCGAAAAAGTAATCGAGAAATGGAACACAGCCTTAGGCTCTGAACCATTTGGTGGATTATTTTAACTTTTGGTTAAAATTTGACAGATGGAAAGTTATCGATTAACCCTGCTATCCGAGCATGGTTATTTCTGACAGACAAGAAGTTAAATTTTGACAACTTTGGCTGAGTTCTTCTCGAAAACCGGTCGATCGACAGCACAGGGATTTTCGAACATAGAAAATAACTTTCGAAATGTCACTTTTAACCACGAGTTAAATTTAACTCGGCAAATGGTTCACAGCCTTATTATAACATCGACTCTGTTTTTAACAAGTGCGATTGCATTAGCATAAATCACTACCTTAGTACCCCTCGACATTACTTTGTATGGGAGCGAGCTGTCAATTTGATAGTTTAAAATCCAGATGGTAGTCTATGGGTTCGAAAAAGAAATATCGTGCCCAGAAAATGAATTCCTTTCAGATGATGTTTAACAACCGATAAATGCTTCAAAATTAAAGAACCCAATTGCGGAATTTCCCTTATTAAAATTTAACAAGATTCACTTTATCGTAGAACCAATACAATAGAAAGAAAATACACAATCTTTACCGGAACATTTGAACATGGAAAAACAAATTTTAGAAATCCGAATACGCCCTTTCAAAAGTCAGATATAGATCACGCACACATCCAAGCACCCCGTAAAATCCTTCCAAGTCCACAAATTTCTATGTAATCCAAGCTACTGATTTTTCCGTAAAATTTTCTCTTCTTTTGCAACATATTCCGCGATCCCTGCAGAACTCTCCCTTCCAGCCAAAGGCATTATCCAATTAACACACTTGGTCACTTAAGTGCTCAATCTAGCGCCCCGAACGTATACAAAATATTCCCCCCAGGGAACTAAAAATGCAGAAATTGATGTCGGATCCCTCACGGGCGACCGAGACGCGTCAGCCACCATTCATTCATTTTCAGGGCCCATTTTCACCTGGAACACCAGCCGGGAGTGCAGCTAATCCTGCCGTAAACGATTCCCGCCGCACGCAACCAACAATCGGTTCCACTTTGGGCCGACTGCAATCCCGTTAAATTACACTTATTCGCAATTCACTTTTGCACCACGCACGAAAAAGTAGCACTTTACTAATCTTTTGTCTCGCTTTAATGGCGGTCACTCACTAGATGAGATGGAAGAAAAAATTTCGTTCGTTCGTCGCCCTGGCACGGCGCACAGCTTGGATGGACTGCGATGGATGGGTTTGTGCGAGAGCAGGCTGACCAGAAAATATTGCACGCACACCAGCGTGGCACGTGACTACTACTACTACTGCTGCTACTACTGTACACGCATCGAAACCAGCAACTGCAGCAACAAGAGAGAGGTGCGATTTTGTTGTGTTGTGTGTTTCTCACTCGTTCGGGTAATGTTCCCTTTTCAACGTTCGATTCGCTTCTCTCTCTCTGGTGGCCGGAGAGCACTCACACAGGCAAAGCAAGTTTTGGTAACCGAATGAGAGAACATAGCTTTTTATGCCGTGGCTTATTTTTTTCTGAGACATTTTTTTTAACAGGCAGCATAAATGACCTAGGGGTGTGCAGATAACTTCACAGAAATTAAAAACAACCCAAAACTATAAGTTCATTTCACTCACATCCCATCCTCCGTATATAGTGAAAATTTCAAATATTGTTTTTATGTGTCCCACACATGAATTTTTGCAATGTTAACAACAAATGATATCTATGTGTCGGACGCATACTTAACTATTCATGTGACACATACATTTCATGTGTACTTCTGGGTGGATTCTATTTCTGTGTGGTCACATGAAAATCATGTGGAATTTTACATGGAAAATTTGCCTATTAATTCAGATTTTTTGGATAATTTCGATTTAATTCAATATGATCCGATTTCATTCACTATTCAGCGATAATCTTGGATCAGTCAGCATTATCTATCTGTTTACTCTAATAAGTTTGAGTGTGTTTAGGTCACTTTCTTGATCGCGAAGAAGAAAATACCTGAAAAAATCAAAAATCAAGCTTAATTCTTTTAGGCTACCACACTCTTCGCCGGACAAACAACAACTAACTGCCCTCCCTAATAAAAATAACCATAAAAGAGAGCTTAACGACGTGTTCGGGGTATCATCCAAACCATTTGTGGGATAGTTTACCCATCCGGGATACAGTTCGTTTATGGTATTTGTCGAGGGGGGCGACTCTATCTACGATGCAGGAAAAATTGCGTTTTGCTGTGGTTAGCTGCGCACACGCTTAGTAGATAGAAAGAAGATTGATGACGATTCTGAAGATTTCTTGTAAAACTATGATGCACGATGCAAGTAGGTGGGAGGAATGAAAGAAGATTTTCCGAAGATTGATTCGCTAGTGTGAGATTTGTTGAGCATCTAGAATTGAGATTTAGATGTGTCGCCCCGCTCGGTATTTGTTTATTAGGGCTCACCTGTCAATCTTCCATCCAGTAAAGCAATCATCAGTTGATGCAGTCTTAAACCCCAAGTAGTGGCAGTTGATCGACTACAGGAAACAAGATCGGAAAAAAAGATTCAGCAAATGCGCTTCTTAGTTCTCTAAATTGAATTGCAACGTCTCGAATAACTTTTCAAGGACAGAACTATAATCCACCCCGGGACCAAGTCATTCGAGCTCCTTACACTTCAAAGAGAATCTGGCTTAAATACTCGTCCCTTCCCTCTTTGTCTCTGAGACCTTCTCTGAACCACAGACTCCAATATCAGCGATAAAACCTCGCGAATCCCCCTAGCAGCAGCAGAATAAGCCTAACTTCAGCATTCCTCCTATACCGCTCCCATCCACAAACCACCCTCGCAAGATTCGGACATATTTTTACTACCGAGTACTCCCGACATCCAGCCATCAACCAAAACTCGTTTGCTCTTGCAACCACCTCAGAAGACGCTCAATTTCATGATTCTCATCCGTGCAAGTATCGCAAAACCAAAAGGGTGGCCACTCTACACACTTATTTTGTGCCAACTTTTTCTCAGTGTGCCGCAGCTGTGCCGGCAGTGCCGAGAAGTAATTGAACTGAGTTTTTTTTCTTGTGGATAATGCTCTGTTTGGAAACCCGGAATTCTATCTGTCAAATTTACCATTTACCATAGAATGTAAACGAAATTCGTATTTGACTCGAAAAAATACAGACAACGAGTTACGATTCTCCTTCATGGCACATCTCTCCTTGTCTGATCCTTCTCTAGCTGGAAGAAGCACATCAATGTGGTTCCTTATGTTACCGTTTTGCCGGAAACTGCCGTCGAAGGAGTACAAACAAGCCAGCTGAAAATCGACAGTTTTCTAGAGACGAACTGTACGCTGCTGAAGGTTTTCTGTTTCGCCTAGCTCAGCTACAAGGTTATGCCGATGAAGTAGCCTTTTTCTTGAACAACCGCAGTGATACGCTAGATAGTACCACAAACGAAGTGACAGACGACTAACTGGCGAAGAAATCCATTAAAATAATGTGGTTCACTGTAATAGAATTTTATTGGAAGCTTGTGCCATCATCCACCAGATGGGTTAATTTTTTTTGTTTTGATTTGAACAAAGTTGATTTTGTGTACAATGATTCTTTGACAGTGTGCAAAGAGTGCGTATCATTTTGTCATTTTTTTATGCATTTCAGTTTTGAGTAGAGTGAAAGAGATAGAACCAAAACATTCCAGTACATTTGGTGAAAATGCTAGTTCAATCTAGTAGTAGTGTTGCCATGTGGTACAATCCAGTAGTAGTGGTGTTGCCATGTGGTACACTGAAAAATTGAAATAGCAGGTTAGTCACCAAACTTCCATAGCGAATCAAAACAAACATTGCGTAGTACTAGAATTTCGACTAGAATGGGGTACGTTAATCGTTTGCTTGGGACCAATAGGCTAGTCAAGTAGTGAGCCAATTTAAAATCGTTAGTTTCGTATTGATTGTTGATAGAACCCTTCCTAAAATCAGCCGTTTATACAAGCTGTCACCCTGGTTAGACGATCGCAGGGTAATGTGAATGCGGAGTAGAATCAACAATCAATACGAAACTAACGATTTTAAATTGGCTCACTACTTGACTAGCCTATTGGTCCCAAGCAAATGATTGACGTACCCCATTCTAGTATAAATTCTAGTACTACACAATGTTTGTTTTGATTCGCTATGAAAGTTTGACAGATAAAATGAGGGGTTATTGGATTTTCCTATGTTTCGAGGGGTGAATCGTTAGCTTGGGACCGAAGATAGTAGAGCTGAGCCAAAAAGTTGAACTCGTTTCTTCCGGACCTTCTAGTCTTAGAGTTACCTCTATGGTAGAATAGCCGCCTGCCAGTACGCCACCGAAGAAACAAAGAACCCATCCTTCCTAACGACACCCTGTTGTTACCTCCCTGTTAATCACCCACTACCACGAAAAATTCCACCATCAAAACCACGAAGCCATAGTGAACAAACTTCGTCAAAAAAAGGTCATTCCTCGCATTCGCGTTCAGTATGCAGCGACAAGGAAGGGCTGCCAGCGATGAAAAAACGAATCCTCGATTCCACAACCTTCAATCATGGCGGACCTCCCAACAAACAATTTTAGCTGCAGATTAGCTTATACAGCCAAAATTTGCCTTATGCAGCTAATTTTTGCCTGTATAAGCTAAGCTGCAGCTAAAATTGTTCGTTGGGCTCCCAGCGGAACGGCTAGCTGCTTTCACACGCCCTTTCACTCATGTAGGCGCGGTCCCATGGAAGTTGTAATCGGAAGAAGAACGGAGAAAATATGGGGAATGATCGTCACCTGTCTTACGACACGGGCGATCCATATAGAATTGGCCAACTCGCTAAGCACCAGCTCATGTATTGTAACTCGGTGGTCGCGAACTACGTACTTACCGCGCGTGGGTTAAACGTTTGAATTAGTCCGCGACTTCGCGGTTACGGACATACTCTTTTCACCACAATGACTTCTTCGCTAGATGGTTGCGATTCTTAAGACTCAGTCGTCTTACTCTTAACCTTTCAGACTGGCAGGCTAGTATACCTAGTACCTGACGGTGGAAAGGAAGGGTAATCGAATGTATCTTGTAGAATAAGCTCTCGTTCCGTCAAAATGACACGACACCTAAGTGTGTAGTCTACAATTGAAGGGAACGAAACACTTATTCAATTAGAACTGCTTACGGAGACCTTTTAGAGCAGATCAATTTAATCAAGACTTCAGACTGACAGGCTAGTAAACCTAGTACCTGGCGGTGGAAGTTAGAATAAACGAACTTCTCCAATTCCACTAATATCCGTCGAAATGACACAACACCTAAATGCGTAGTCTACAATCGAAGGGAGATTAGCGGCTTGGCCTAACCAAGGGTTCTTCAATAATGAGAACGAAGTTGCTCAGAATTGGTTTGAAAAGTAAGTGAAGTTTATTTCCAAAAATTTCCTTTATATACTGTTTTCTTGATTTACAATTATTGATTACTTCTACTGTATGAAAGAGACGAAAGTATTATAATCAACTATGCATTCCACCTATCTTTAATGCATCCTAATTAAACTTGGTATTTTATTACCCTTTTCTATTCTGTTCGTGGACCCTTACATTGATTACGAATGGTCGTGTCTTCCGTGCACCAAAAAATGCATTCTTTGTTCTTTTTCTAATTATCTATTGCCTCCGAACTATTTGGTTACATTGAAACTGATTGTATGCCCTGACAAATACGCTTCCTCTTGAATACCGATTAGGTTCTCGAATCGAAAACTGTTTTACGACCGTCAGCGTATGCCTTTCGTATGCATAGACAATGCGTTTAGAGTTTACGACCATAAACCTTTTTTACCAAGCCTTCGTCGCTTTTCTTTATTCTTGCTTAGCGCATTGACCTTATCACGCATATGCGTAGCCTAGGACCGTCAGTGATCACCCGTAAAAAAAAGAACCGTAGAGGTACAATGAAATGTATTGTAACCATACAATAGATTTTGTTGTATTTACAATAAATCGTATTATTTACAACGATAAAATTACAGTAGAATGTATTGTTTCTACAATAGAATATATGGTAAATGAGGGAATATACAATAGAACAAGGGGGTCGTTATGTATCTTAACCATACGAAAAATCACTTTTTCCCGAACAAACTTGAACCATTTACCATTAATTGTATTGTTGTTCTATTGTTGAAAACTCTTACTATATGGGACGTATTGTACATCTATTGTAATGACAATATGTTAAAATTTCGTGTAAAATAGGATCGATTGTTGGCAATAGATTTACTTGTAATTGTATTTTATTTTATGGTAATTGTATGGTTATTTTTTTCCGGGCATTTCTATTCTGTTTTGATTCTTGTCTTTAGGTTCGGTCCTTTTGAGATCCTCACAGCGTGGGATCGTTCTTAGTGTGAATGAACTATCGCTTTCGCTTTCTATGGACTGTGGTGGTCATAAATTTTCTGTTTATGGTCTTTGCTCCTTTATTCCTATATATCTGTTTAACTAGCTAATTATGTCGTCGCGTACTTAACATGTATAATTGCTCTCGCGGAACTCCAAGGACTATTCGGAGTGACCGGAGTACCGATTTCATTGGCACCAGCCGTGAACTCAAGAACCTGCAAGAAGCAGTCGACTACGAACCGGTTATGAAAGAATTCGTAACCACGGAGACGAGCTGAACCTTCAACCTACCTCTGGCTCCCCATTTGCCCTTCAAGGATGCCATCCAAAGAAGTGCTGAGGAGCCTACTCACGGAAGTTAAGAGCACGCTGAACTCCCGACCACTCACTCACGTGACAATCGATAACGAGTCATCACCTGCACTCACACCGAACCACTTTCTTCTGGGGTCATCCGATGGCTCGAAACCGTTTACCTCGCTGGATGATAGCGGCACCCTTTTCAAACAAAACTGGCGTACATCACAAGCGCTGGCGAATCAATTTTGGAAGCGCTGGCTATCGGACTATCTCCCGGACATTACAAGACGGACGAAATGGTTCTTCGATTAGAAGCCGATTGACCGAGGCAACGTGGTGATCATCGTAGACTCCAACCTGTCCCGAAATTCCTGGCCGAAAGGTAGAGTCATCGCAACGCAACCAGGCAAAGATGGACGAATCAGGTCAGCTACAGTAAGGACATCGACTGGCATATACGATCGCCCTGTGACCAAACTGGCGGTCCTGGATGTTCGACGCGGAGAGGAGCAAGCGGACCAGACGTCCGGCTTACCTGGGGGGAGTGTTGGCCATCCCTAGTTGGCTGCGCATCTGCACAATCCAGCAGGCCCCTCGTTTGATCGAGCAAAAGCAACCCTGGCATGCGATCGCCTGTGACGAATAACTGACATTGAGAATGTGGTAGGTCTACCATCGATCGGGGTAAGTGTCAGATAACTAAAAACAAAGGCCATATAGCGAAGTAAATCTAAAGGGCCGTGCGGTACTCGATCGCGCATCATCTTTTTGCAGGAAATCTTCAGAATCGTCGTCAATCTTCTTTCTATCTACTCAGCGTGCGCGCAGCTAGGCACAGCAAAACACAATCTTTTCTGCATCGTAGATAGAGTCGTCCCCCTCGTACAGTATGACCAATTAAAAAAAAAAATGCGAATATACAAAATTTCGATGGCGGACGAGGTTCCACACGGTTTCGGTGGCGATTTCTGATGCTTCCATCGGAGATTCCAAATAATTTCGAAGGAGTTTTCTCAGCGGAGGAGGATCTGCACAATTTCGGTGGAGGTTTTCTGGTGTGCACGGTCGAGAAGTACGATTTCGGTGGATATTGTCGGTGCTAACAACGGATGTTTCAGGAAATTTCTATATCATTTCTGGTGTTTTCGGTGAAGGAGCTTCCACAAGATTCTGGTGGAGATTTGCTGCCAACGAAGGTTCAACGGAATTTTGACGGGGTTTTCTCGCGTTCTTGGTGAAGCGGGCTTAGCACGATTTCGGAGGAGGTTTTCAATGTTGATACTGAAAGTTTCGGAAGCAGCTTCTGCACGATTTTGTTTGAGATTTCCGTTGCTACCGGAGGAGCTTGCAGGGAGTTTCTAGTAAGTTTATGCGTGTTCACGGCGGAGAGAATACCATAGCATGATTTCGGTGGATATTTTGTATGTTACGGATGTTCCGGGGAGATCCGACAGTGTTTTCAAATGTTCACGTCGGATAGAGTTCCGGGCGATTTCGATGGAGATTTTCGGTGCTGCCAACGGAGGTTCCAGTGGGTTTCATCAGAGTTTATTGCGTCCGATGCTCCCATCGAGTACAGGGAATTTTGACAGATTTTTTCCGCATTCTCGGTCAAGGAGCGTCAGGAAATTTTTTCTCGAGTCAGAAGTGTGGATTTGAGCGAACCGATGTGAACAACAACATGTTTTGGTAGGAACGGTCACTTAGAGCATCATGCTACAAAAAATGCACTGAGAAAATGCATTTAATTTTTTTGTTTCTGGTCAAAATGCATTTATTTATTTTTTGTTATAAATAATAAATGCACCACAAGTGATCTGCCCCTAGCTATTTAGCCTATTTAAAGGAAAATTGTAATAAATATCTCTACGAATTCCTGTATTCTGGGTTCTGGTATTATATTTACGGAAGAAATCCCCTGTCCACCTGTTGCCTCTCGCAACACCATGCATAATATTTTTAAACGAATTATTCGGTTTTTCGTTGGTAACCGAAGTGGTGCGGTAGAAAATTAATCCGAATTCGGTATTATTTTCTAAGTGCGCAGTGAACTTTCTACAACTCGATATTGACGGAACTATCGTGTTATAGAATAATCGAGTTATTGAATAACAATCACATACAAAATTGTGACCCTGCAGATTAGCGATGTCAGCTGGTAAAGGAAACATTCCTGTACCGGATGGTATCGTTACTTTGCCATTGTTTACAAAAGCTGTTTCGCCCTTTTGAAATGTTGGCACCGAAATTTTCTAAACAAAAAAAACCTGGCATCCCTACTCGTGTTTTATGCTTTGCTACCAATCGAGCTACCACCACACAAACGTCATGCTCGCTTGTAAGTCAACAAAAGCACGACACGAGTTTCTGTTTTCTTTCTACCTAAAACAAAAAAAAAACCGCCAGCAGCCGTGCTCTCGATTCGCGAACAGCTGCCATGGATCTTTTTACGATCGATACCGCCGGTGATACCGGTCATACATCCACGTTTTCTCGTCCTACGCTTCTACCGACCAGCTCCAGTAGCCGTCCTGCACTGGATCGCTCCAACCATTTCAGCGGAAAATCTACAAATTCACAGAAGCAACCAGCTGCAGACAGTGACGATGATGACGACGAGGACTATGGAGGTTAGTAAAATCAAACGCTTTCTTATGAAACACGGGTTCAATAATATGGATTTTGTGAGCAGGTCTGCCTCCACCGAGTCAGGATATATTCAAGATTCTCCACGACGACGAATCGACGGTGATGATGAGAGATTTGGCCGGAACTCGTGGTCCATCCATCCCTAAGAAGGCACGCTACGCGAAAGGAACCAACCAGGTTCAGGAACTAGCCGTGACGGATGTAAACAAGCAGATGAAGTCGGCTGTACTGACACCGGCCGTTGAAAAACAGGAAAACTTGGCCGCCCTTTCGATGACCGATCGGAAGATAAAGGAACTGAATAAGGTAGGATTTAATAGATTTCCCAGGGGGGAATATAACAAATAGGATTTCCATGATGATATATTCGACAACTGAAGACGATCCATTCGGTTCCCGGCTTGTTCGATTGACTCAACTCTGTTCCTTAGTGTGCCCTCCCGCAGTAATCTTAATGGGATGATTAACCTTGAGACCATGGGTTCCATTGTAAGGCCTGCGGGACATTGAACAATGTTTTGCCATTGCACGGCGACCCACGTTCGTTTGGGGGAATGGTTTCTCCGAAGCTCGGAGGAATTATTCTTTTACAGAATAGTTGGCCGTCCGTGCGGTGGTAATATATGCCGAAGGAAGTTTTTATGTGGGACAGTCTAGTTTAAATGCCTCCACTACTTTCCTTGCTTCACAGTTGCTTACACAACTTTAAAGGGACTTGTTTTCAGGAACAGGGTTACGAACAGGTCGACCGTTTGGATCATGTGATGTCTCTTTAGTAATCTGATTCGATCCAGTTGAATAGGCTCACAAAAGACTTGTTAAATGCAATACTTTTCAAAGAAAATACATTTTCACTTTTCAGAAAGAGCGATCCAAAACCAAGGGCAAAGATTGGTTCAACCTTCCGGCACAGGAAATGACCGACGAGGTGAAGAACGAACTTGAGCTGATTCGAATGCGGTCAGTGTTGGATCCCAAACATTTCTACAAACGCAGCGAGATGAAAACCCTTCCCAAATACTTCCAGGTAAGTTCAACTCATCCGTTGGATTACCTACCTACGAAATTAATCCATTCAACGATTCAAATTACAGATCGGCAAGGTGCTGGAATCCCCCTTGGATTACTACAACGAACGTGGCCAGAAGAAGAGCAATGCTAAAACTCTCGTCGACGAGCTGCTCGAAAACGCCCAGTTCCAAAAGTACAACAAGAAAAAGTACGCAGAAGCGCTTGAAAAGCGAAAGAAGAAAGCCTACCATAAAGCTGCTATAAAGATGAAGAGGTTGAAGAAAAAGAAGCATTAAAATTTGTTCGCAAACGTGTCCTTATTAAGTATCTGTTCGTTTATTGTCGAGAAAATCTATTACCTTTTGTCCAATGTTTCGATATGCTTTCGCAAAGTTCGACTCGGGATATTTCAAACACAAGGGCGTTCCGGAGTCTCCGCATTGCATAACCTCCTTCTCGATTGGAATACTATCCAGAACGTCCACTCCAAGTTGACTAGCGAAGGCTTTGGTTGAATTTTGCGCCAGTTCGATTCGATTGTCGCATTTATCGCAAATAACGTGACTCATGTTCTCCACCAGCCCGATTAGTGGCACCTTCAATGTCCTATACATTTCTGCCCCCTTTCGAGTCACTTCCAGAGCGGCTATCTGCGGACTACTGACCAACAGGACTCCAGATATGGGCACGTGTTGACTCAACGATAAGTGAACGTCTCCCGTTCCGGGTGGAGTATCCACCACCAATATATCCAGAGGACCCCAAACGGCACCTTTCAGCAACCGTTGAATAGCTGACATCACCAAGGGTCCTCTCCAAACTACCGGACCGGTTTCCACCAAAAGACCCATTGAGAGACTGCAATAGCCATGCGTATGAAAAACAATCCCCAACTTCCCCAGAGATCCAACCTACCATTTCACGCCGTAATTTACCGGTGGGATCATGCAGTTGTGTTCATCCACCAGTGGCACTTCGGACAGGTTCATCATCAGTGGAACAGAAGGGCCAAAAATGTCCCCATCGAGAAGTCCCACATTTTTACCCATACCGGCCAACGTAACGGCTAGATTGACTGCCGTGGTGGTTTTGCCTACACCTCCTTTGCCGGACGAGACCACCACGATGTCGCGAACGCCTTTCAATGGCAGTCGCTTTGGCAGACTCCGAGCCATCAGCTCCGCCTGGCGCGAATCCGGTTTCACATGGCATGGCTGGAATAGTGATAGGGTTATTCGCTACACTTACTAGTTCCCTCTGCGGCAATATTGGACTCACCCTGGTACTTGCAAATCCGCGAGTCAGAGTGTAGAATGCTACCGGTTTCAGCAGGTTCATGGTACGCCAATAAGTTTCAGTATTTTGGAATATTTAGTTTTCTTCAAATTCCTTCGCTTGATTTGAAGCGCAACTAACAATTTAAAGTAAATATAAACTGTTAAACTGTATTTTATTAATATTTTACATTATGCAAACGTTTTTGAAAATCAAAAATGTTTATGTTTCTTAGGTCTGTGCCTGCTACACTGTGCCAAAATATATTCCTTTATTTGAATGATTAATTTTCACATCAAACGTATCACGGCGAATGAGAATGACTCAAATTTGAGTTTAGTTCACTCATAATCGCCAAAAGTTCAGGAACTCAGCGATGAGTAAATTTGCCTCATGTTTTCCCAGGTTTTTCCAGGGAAAAATTCCCGAATTTGAGAAAAGTAAAGATTGGATTCACTCAGTCTATTGGTACTACTCCGAGACTGAATAAAATTTTCGTCAATTCCTCATTTTCTGGCAGATTTTTTAGGTTTTCCACAGGAAACCATGAGACAAATTTACTCATCGCTGAGTTCCTGCACTTTTGGCGATTATGAGTGAACTAAACTCAAATTTGGGTCGTTCTCATTCACCGTGATCACACAGAACTAGACTTGAAAATTGCGGAATTCCAAACTCACCATATCGAGAAAATCGCTTCCGATTTTTAAAGTCCTAAAAATTAATCCTATTTCACGACTTTCCATTTTCTGGATGATTTTATTAGCTTGACATATAGTAAATAGTGTAATCTATCATCGTTTTATCACTAAAACCTAAAAAAACATTAGTAATTTTCATTTAATTCCACTACCTTATTTGCTTATCCTTGATAGATACGCGTATATCGTCTACAATGTGCAGACTTCTTCAGTGTCTTGTACTAATACTCGAGTCGAGTATTAATACAAGACACTGAAAAAGTCTGCACATTGTAGACGAAATATGCGTATCTGTCAAGGATAAGCAAATAAGGTAGTGGAATTATATGGAAATTACCTGAGTACTGCGAACTCAGCCGATTTATTTTTCAAGTGAGATAGAAAACATCTTGAAAATCTTACGAAGTATCAAATTGTTTTGCTGAAACAGCTCACGAAATTGTATATACATGCTGTCAAATGAACTCTTGGCTCCTCCTCCTCTGCTCCAGAAATAACGTATACATGATGATGGGAGTGCACCTGCCCACAAAGCTCACATGACTCTTATAAAGTTTGATTACATTCTTGTTTCAGCAACCCAGTTTTGGCATTATTAATATCAAATAAAAACACTTTTTCGAGCATCACGCTCGATGGTTTACATTATCCGCCTACTAAGCTTGATGTTTCGACAGTTTCATAATTATAATCCTTAATTTGTTTTCAGTAGGTGGCAACACCTTTACTTGTGGTTCAAACAGTACCTAAGTGACTTCTGAGCTCTTTTGAATGTTTGGCTCCCGTCTGACAGTTTGACCGTTTGACTCAGCTCCCTGATGACAAGCATTTTGAGTTTGTTCGCAGTACTCAGGAAATTACTAATTCTTCACTCTCTCATTATACAGGTAAGACGCCCACATTCATCAGGATTCTAAAAAAAAAGTTTTTTTTTGCCGTGAAATTGAGAAAAAAAAACATCATACCATAGACGAGACCATAGAGATAACTCCGAGGGGCAGACCACTCATGCATTTTCGTTTCATCCAAACGTATTGGGGATAATCGTATTGATGAATTGATGCTAATACCATAGAGGTAACTCTAAGACTAGTAGGTCCCGAAGAAACGAGCTCAACTTTTTGGCTCAGCTCTGGTACTCTCTTCGGTCCCAAGCTAATCGATTCAACCCTCGAAACATAGGAAAATCCACTAGCCCCTCATTTTATCTGTCAAATTTTCATAGCGAATCAAAACAAACATTGTGTAGCACTTGAATTTTGACTAGAATTGGCTATGTCATCGATTTAAAATCGTTAGTTTCGTATTGATTGCTGCTAACACTGGGGCATTCAGAGAAGTCTCGAAAAATAATGCTGGTTGTCATGATTTCAGAAAAAGTACCTATAGGCATTTCTATTTGCCACTAACTTGGGGCGCGACAGCTTTTGATCATGAGTAAAATCGGAGCAAATTTTGAGTAACTCTGAGTAACTCGCGTTGCTCAAAATCATAGGGAGGATTCCAATCAATCGCAAAGAGGATTTATGACAGCCTCAGAAGGTATTCCGAACAAGCCAAGGGGGGATCAAGACAATCCCAGTACGGCTTCCCAGCAATATGAAAGGGGTTTCAGACAATCCAAAGAGGGATTATGGACCACCCCGGAGGGATTCTGGACAATTCCAGAACGGATTTCGGACAATCACAGGGAACATTTCAGTCAATCCAAAGGGGGATTCAGAATAGAATCAACTATGAAGTTGGCTAGAGCTAACCTATTTTGACCTGAGATGATCAGCTAAATAAAAAACTGCATTCCACACATAATGTTCCTTTTGTGCTAAATGTTGATCATTACAACAACATTAATTCAAACCGTTCCTGTTCACCCTTTTCAACCCGTGTCTATTGATGTCTTTTCCAGGGGTATCAGGGAAAACAATGGAGGTTTCTGGCGACAGTTGACCATTATTCTGACTTTTTCTAGCTCAATATTATAAAGTATTTACATCCCTCTTCTGTTCTGGAAGCTTGCATATATGATTTGGCTATTCATTAATAATTATTATTAATGTCGATTTTCCTCATTTCAGTTCGCATTTCAGGCATGTAATTCAGCAAAATGTGAAGCCTTCCCCGAGGGGGGCGACACATCTAAATCTCAAGTTTAGATGGTCAACAAACCTCACACTAGCGAATCAATATTCGAACAATCTTCTTTCTAGATGCGACAACTACTTGCATCGCTCATCAATTTTTTGCAGGAAATCTTCAGAATCTTCATTAATCTTCTTTCTATCTACTCAGCGTGCGCGCAGCTAGCCACAGCAAAACATAATCTTTTTTGCATCGTAGATAGAGTCGTCCCCCTCGGCCTTCCCTAATAAAAATTGTATGGTTAATTTTCTTAACGACGTGTTCTGGGTATCATCCAAACAATTTGTGGAATAGTTCAATGATTTGGGTTATCGTTCGTTTATGGTTATTTTTTATTAGGGTTTTTGACCGACATTGTAAGACTGAGTATTAATTTTCATGAACTGTAAAATGTAGACAAATTCTTGGCTTGAAATCACACCATCACATCACAAAAAAAAAACTTCGAAGACATCCCAAGTAACAATTTTCAGTTGAAGAAACGTTTTGATTTTGTTCAGCTGCATGTTGAATAATAATTGCACAATGTGTTCACCACAACTTTTATAAAACCCTTGTTTACACTGGTTTGGAGAACCTATACAACTGCAACACAAAGGTGTTGTCTAACGTATTCAGTAAAACGTTTACCCAAAATCAATTTCTTGTTGAAGAAACGCTTCCATTGTGATTTTATTCAATTGCATGCTGAATAATAACTGTACAATTTGTTTATTACAACTTCTGTAAAACTCTTGTTTACACTGGTTTGGAGAACCTGTTCAACTACAGCATTATATGTATACGCGGTATAGGAGTAGAAGCAACTTTTATACAACGTTAATAGATACATATTTAAACTTAAGCTTTATTATTTTGGTGAAAGCTCTTATACAACGTTTGTAGACACTTCCTGACAGTTGCTTTGAAATTTAGTAGAGAGGAAACCTGAGAGGCGGTTGTTACACTCTTTTATGACTCCTAAATATTAATTGAACAGCAAGCGGTGAAAAGTGTTTATAACACTTTTCAATGACTCAAATAACCGGATAGAAGCAACTTTTATACAACGTTTATAGATACATGTTTAAACTCAAGCTTTATTGTTTTGGTGAAAGCTCTAATACAACGTTTGTAGACACCTCCTAATAGCTGCTTCGAAATGTATTAGAGATTGAACCTGAGAGGCGTTTGTTACACTCTTTTATGACTCCTAAATAATCACTATACAGCAAGCGGTGAAAAGCGTTTATAGCACTTTTTAATGACTCCTTAATAACCGTTGTGTAAGTACTCACAATATTCACAGATTAAAATTAGTTTAACAATTGTCGTGGTACGCCAAAATAATTGCTTGTACAGTTTTTATTAATTTAATTTATTTGTGCACATTGAAAAAATATGTAATTATGCCATAATTCTCATTCTGTGATCATGGAGGAAGTAGTAACAAGCATCTGTTTAATCTTTGATTGATATTCTTTCAATTAATCTATCTAATCATTAATTGGGAGAATTTATCTTGAAATGTTATCCGTTGATTATATGATATATGTCTTAAATTAATGCTTGCATTTAATAATAACATCTATATATAATTTACCTCTACCATAGAGGTAACTCTAAGACTAGTAGGTCCCGAAGAAAATCATTATTATTTTTGGCTCACTCAGTACCAGAACAACGGTCCCAAGCAGTCCCAAGCTATTTCACTCACCCCTGCATGTTCTGCATGAATCCACACACCCCTGATGTTATCTGTCAAACTTTCATAGCGAATCAAAACAAACATAGTGTAGTAATAGAATTTCAACTAGAATAGGGTACGTTAATCGTTTGCTTGGGACCAATAGGCTACTAAAGTGGTGAGCCAATTTAAAATCGTTAGTTTCGTATTGATTGTTGCCTCTACTCCACCGAGGGTTTCTCGAAGCAAGATTCGAACTCATGATCCCGGATTGCCAGCCGCTTCTGTTTCCATCTGCTCTATTCTTGAATACATATTTTGATCACATGAGAGAAGTATATAAAGCTCATCTTGAGTGACTTCTCTTGCATTCGAATAATCATTGCCTTATGGTCATATAAACGTGCCTATCACTTGTGCTATTTTTAGCAACAAAATTGTGGTTGGTGGTTGGTCGAACGTAAACAATCATTTAAGAGTGCTCCAAGCAGCTTTTGAAGCTTTTAACCAAATGGCAATACAACTACATTCTTGTACAACTCTGGAAGCTATTATTCAACGTTTCATCAACTCAGGTGTTTCATAAGAGCTCCCAATTGTTTGTTTTGATGCGTTTATTCCACGTACTATATAGCTCTTGTCAATCGGTTTAACTAAGGTGCTATAAAAGTTATCGTAGGTCTTATAAAGCGTATAGGTAAACCGAACGTAAACAATCATTTAAGAGTGCTCCAACAGCTTTTAAAACTTTTAATCAAATGGCAATACAACTACATTCTTGTTCAACTCTGGAATTTGTTATTCAACGTTTGATCAACTCAGGTGTTTTATAAGAGCTCTCAATTGTTTGTTGGGTAATAACAAAACCTACAAAAGCTCAATACATCATTTTGCGGAATGGTGTTGAACAAAAAAGTTAGAGGCAAATGAATGTAAATGACTGCACGAAATGAATGCAAATGATTTTCCATCCCTGCTCACTGCAAATATATTTACTCTGAGTACAATTGTCTTGCCCCTTGGCTACTAAGTTCGACCCGAGATTAATAGAAAAGCAATACATTGTCATCGTATAGCCATATTTAAAATTTTATGTTTCCATAAAACAAAATCAAGCTCCCATCCATCTTGTATTCTCAACTTAATCATTCTTATTTGAAATGATGAAATTTGCAATTGTACATGCAGAGCCTCTGATTTGCCAAGCAAATGAAGGCCTCATAAAACACGTCTTGCCGGATGATAGGGTAAATAACTACTTCGGCCTAATCGCCCATTTTGGGCCTATCGAGCAGAAAACTTCAAATAAATCCATGATTTCAGAGTTAACCAGTCAATTATGCATTTGGTACGATACGTTAGTTAATAAGCTACGGAACGAAGTCAATGAGAACGCGTGATATGAAGGTTTGCACTCGGGTTTGCACCCATTATTCCCAAAAGCAAAAGAAGCACTCCGACCGAATCAATTTTTATCTTCATCCGATAGGCCGAAGTGAATTCAATGACGTTTCAATACATAAGGCCGAGTTTAGAATCCGTAGGCCGAGTAAGGCGTCAAGAAGCAGTGTTAGAGTTTTGACAATATCTCAACGATTGGTTTCTCTTTATTAAATCTTACGGTACATACGGATAGGTAAATAGATTTGGAAGCCATCAGTAATAATAACATTCCGTTTGGTGCTAAACTGCGCTAGATTAAGAAAGACTGAGTGCGGGTTGTGCTTAATAGACCGGAAATGGGGTAGTGAACCTACTGATACATGTATCATGTTAGGCCATCTTCGGATATGGCATTTAACTCATTTCCCTTCAAAGCAAAGTTCTTAGATTTCGCTTAGATTTCATGCTGTGGATGAATTCAATTGATTAAATAACGGTTAGTATCAAGAAATTATTAAAATAATTCAGATCTCCTTCTCCTCTGACACATAATGTTTATTCACACTGTGGTTTGTATTTGTTGATGTATATAAGGCCAGACTACTTTGATCATTGTTGAGTAATTATGAGTTACTCAAATTTATTCGGAGCAAAAATATTAACCTTGAGTACAGCTGGTTTACCCCTACACTGATAAAATTACAAAGATTGTTTTTATGTATCCCACACATGAATTTTTGCAATGTAATCAACAATCGGACACATACGTAATATGTGTACACATAAAAGCCATGTGTAACCACAAATACTATTCATTTGATTCATACATTTCATATGTGCTTCTATGTGGATTCTCTTTATGTGTGGTCACATGAAAATCATGTGGAATTTTACAGGTAAATTCGCCAGTAAAAATGTGTGGAATTCTATTGGTGTAGTTCGGCACAGTGTGCAGAGTTGATTACCCCTTGTCTCATCACATTAATTTTCATAAAAAATAAATATATTTTTACTCATTTAATGGGTAGTCCCTGAGTGGTGCGGAGAAACACGAAATGGTTGTCAAAAAGAATCCAACTGGTGCTGTCAAAAAGAATCCAACGATCTAGAGCTGCTAAAAGTGATACTTTTCTCATACAATCCCCGTCGGCAGAGAAAGTATTGTGGTCAATGTTGAAAATATTGTCATTTCGGCATTTTTTTACTAATATTCTTCAACAAAAAACTTGCTCAAATACTCGGATGTAAACAATGTAACGAACGAACGAACCTGCACGAACTGCTGAAGGAAGAATGCAAACAAACTTTATAAGAGTCATGTGGGTAGGTGCACTCGCAACACCATGTACACGTTATTTATGGAGCAAAGGGTGAACTTTCAACAGCATGTATATGCAAATTGTGAGCAGTGCATTAGCAAAACAATTTGTGATATCGGAAAATTTTCAAGTTGTTTCCTGCTGACTTGCAAAACAAAAACGGCTGTGTTCGCAGTACCCAGGGTAGTCCCAGTCTCCCTCGAAAATGCTTACTTTGTAGTCATTATTAGGTATTTTGCGGTTACCGTGTACAATACATTTCATTGTATCTCTATGGTTCTTTTTTACGGGTTTTCTGCCCGCTTTTCCAGCGAAACCAGTTGTGCCAAATGGTCAAGTCATTCGATTTATGCTTGACAGTTTCGTTCAGTGTTAAAATCTCCCAACCCTATTTTCGAAATTCGAAGACGTTTCTGCATATGACGTTTCTCGATCCAAAAGAAAAAAAAAAGCCTTTTGCAGACGTCACGTTCTTCTTCTCACCACGACGCAAACCGTTCGTTTTCCACCCGCACGCATCCGCCCACCGGAGGGGTACAGGGAAACCGCTATCTTTCGCTCAGTGCATCTCTTTTTCGCCAACGTGCACCCGTATATCGCTGTCTTTGTGGTGGATTGCCTTTCATCGTCGGGTTTGTCTTTCGACGTCGCTGCGGTGGTGTAGTTTGTCAAATTCAGTTCTGTGTTGTCTGTCGATTCGGCCGTGTGTGTTGTTTCCCGTGTGTAAACTCGCTCGCGGTGCCCGTGGTTTTTCCTCCCAGCCATCATCACACTATAGAACAATAATTGGTTGGCTATTCTGTTTCAATAGTAAGTGTTGGCATTCATCACCAGCCTAGCCTGCGTGGAAAATAAAATACTCTGGATCCTTGTCGGTAGCGTCGCGGACGGTTCCTTCTTCAGTGTTCTCCATAATCTTTCCAGAAAGTGTCACAGAAGAAGCAGACATCATTCCCGTGCGTGTGTGTATGAGCGCATTGTACCGTAGTGTTTTTGTCCGTCGTGGATCCTGGGTGGAATACCTATCCGTAGTTTTTGTGAGTAAAATCGAAATTATCGCGGCTGCGACGGGCACGAGGAGGTGAAATAGAAAGAAAAGTTTGTCGCACAAACGAAACGCCTCAGCCAGTCAGTGATTGCGAGGAAAAAATCGGGCTCCTGTTTTTCTCGTGTTTCCCACCGCCCCCCGTGTATGTGTATGTTGTGTGTGGTGGACGAGAGCCATCCAAGTGGCAATCGCGTGTCGTAAATTTAGTAAAAGTTGAAAGCTTTTCCGATTTTTCCATTCCGGCGGAGGTGAATTGCAATTGAGCAGAAGAGGAGAAGCAGCAGCAGCAGCACCAGGGAGAGGAAGTAAAACAACCCAATTGCCGTGGCAAAGCAGGCAGTCAGTCGGGCGGCAGCAGTCCTCTCGACGGGCATCGGTTTCCACATATATTTTTTTCGGTAAGCAGCAATGGGTCCGGTCCGGAGATGGTCCGCACGGGCGAAAGAGCAAAATGAAATAAAAATCCATTATGGATGGTTGAAATGGTTGAAAGTGGTGTGAAAGTATACGGTGGTGATTTCTTTCGTTGTGAATACCTTGCGACCAGGGATTAACCTGGGGCGTGCACGAAAACGAACGGAAGATTTAGGAAAGGCACAGGAACTGGGGAAGGAGAAGGAGGAGGACAGTCACAGCGACATTCTTTGGTATTCTCACAGCTAATCATCATCGACAGTAGGCAGCGTATAGTGAGACTGTATATCGACGTCGTGTGTTGTCAACACGATCGCCAGTAGACTCGTCAGCGTGATCATCATCGTCACTACTATCATCATCAGCCAGCATCGCTCTGAAACGGCGAACGAGAAGAATCTGGACCGTAGTATCCGTCCACTCCGTATGTATGCGATAGTATTTTTATTTGTTTTATCTGACGTTTGAGATTTGTTTAATATGAATGATTACTGCGAGTTTACTTGGGGGGATTTATCGGTGTAGAGGCAGCATTCGCGTAAAGGGTTGCCAGAAATGATGGGCAATTATATCTAGCGAAATCTAAATTCTTGTTTAATGCGCTTGGTATATATCATAAAAATGCTTGAGTATTAATAAAATATTTGTATGATTGGTTTCTCTGGAATGAGATTTTCCAAGGAATGCTAGTAAACTGTTTTAAAATGAAATGCAAGAAAAATTATTTATAAGTACCTATAAATTTGCGTGATTGTTTTTAAAGTTGCATCCCTGAGTGTTTCTGAAGTCCTCTTAAGTTTGATAATTTTTCCAATGATGTTCCCAAAAGTAGCCCGTAAAATCACCAAAACATTTCGGGAACTTGCCGGCAGTTTCGTGAACTAGTCGGACGACCCTTGAACTTATTGGAAATTCCGTGAACTAGTCGGAATATCCGTAGTGGAAGATTCTTAATCTAGTCAGAAGTTCCGTGAAGTGACTTTTGAACTTTTTAGAAGTACCGTGAACATGTCGGAAGATGGCTTAGTGGGCTAGCATCCATCCGCCAAAGTCACGAGTTCAAATCGCACCTCCGGACAAGTCACCAATGACCCATGACCGCTGAAGTGACTATAATAAAAACAAAATCGGAAGATCTTCTAGTTGAGAGCTGATGAAGACTGATACGCCAGAAAGTGTCTTTTTAACTGTTGCCGATACAACTAGCTGCAGCAGCTGTTCTTTCAGTGTGGAAGTTATCGGAAGAGAAAGCCCTATTCATCAAGTTAAAGTTGGGAGAGTCACCAAAGCGGCCACCAAAGCCAGGAAAAAGGCATTTCGAGTGGCAAAACGAGTAGAAAAACGTCTTCCTGTAGACCACCCGGATCGGGAAGCCGCTCTCCAGAACTACCGAACGAAGATGAACGAATGCGGGGACATTATTCGAGATGCAAAAAAAGAAAGCTGGGAATTCTTCATCGACGACATTAACCCCAGCCAATCGACAACCGACCTGTGAAGCAAAGTGAATGCAATCAGTGGAAAGAGGAAAGCTCAAGGTATCACCATTGTACATGAAGGTGTGGCTACCCATGATCCGGTTGAAATCGTCGACACCATCGGGAACTACTTTGCTTCGCTTTCATCGATCGACAGTTACGACGAGGAGTTTTGTCGAAAAAACCACCCGACCATCAACTCGATCGGGGACATTGAAATCCCCGAAGATGCAGAGAATTCGGAGATCTCCTGAATCAAGAATGGGCATAAGATTCCTTCCTGGAACAATGGAGGCACAGTCTCACCATCCCGATCCCCAAACCAAACTCTGTGGGACACGAAGTCGACAAGTACCGGCCGATATCCCTAACATGCTGCGCATCGAAGATAATGGAGAGGATGGTGAACAGGAGACTACCTGGAAGAAGGTAATCTTCTAGACCACCGCCAACACGCATTTAGTACAACCGGGCATGGATGCCGGGAGTGCTCGACCAGCTGAAGAAATGGGGACTCAAGGGACACATCCTAAAATTCATCCAGAACTTTTTGTGCAAACGTACCTTCCAAGTCACGCTTGGAAACCGCCGATCCTAAACATTCGAGGAGGAAACAGGGGTACCACAGGGCTCCGTGATCGCCGTTACCCTTTTCCTCATTCGGATGAACGATGTCTTCACGCGGTTACCAGTTGGAATCTTCATCTTCGTCTACGCGGACGACATCGTCCTAATGGCTGTCAAGAAAACGGTGAAGGCACTGCGAAGAAAGCTTATTCAGGCCATCACCTAAGTATCGGCATGGACCTCGTCGGCCGACTTCCAGCTATCCGCTACTAAGAGCGGATTCACTCACATCTTTCGGATTCACCGATAAAATACCAAGTCCTCAGCACCAAAGTCTGCATCAAAGAAGACCTAATTCGAAAACTATCCGAATCCTCGGGGTCTGCTTTGACCGATATCTCACCTTCGACACACACTTCAACGATGTCAAAAACGTATGCAAACAGCGTATGAACCTGCTCAAAACTCTAGCGGGACGACATCCAAATGCCAACCAAAGATCCCGACTGAACGTGGCGAAAGCCATCATCAACTCAGCCCTAACCTACGGAATCGAAACTACGTTCCTTGCCAAGCCCCGATTGATCGAAAAGTTATCGCCGGTCTATCAACAAACTCTCCGAATCTGGTCGGGTCTTTTGCCAGGTACCCAAAGAATAGCTGCTTGCATCGAAGGAGGACTGCTCCCCTTTGATCGCTTCATCTCCAAAACTATCTGCCAACGAGCCATCGAACTTTACCAGCAGACATCAGGAGACGACAAGGAAGATTCCCTCCTCACGGAGGGGAACAATTCATTCAGGGAAGCATCCAACCCGACTCTCCCCCCAATATCCAAGATTTACTGGGTCGGAGCGAGGGGTTGGAACAAGCCCCGAAGATTCTGACCGACCACACAATCAAACACCAATTCAGAGCTGGTGCCAATCCTTCAGCGGTGGCACAAACGGTACTCGAACTCCAGAACCGGAAATACGGAGGATACACCATTCGGTACTCGGATGGCTCGGTAGTCCAGGGAAATGTAGGAATCGGGATTTTCGGTCCAAACCTCGCGGAATGCCATAGACTCCCGGATCAGTGCTCCATTTTCTCTGCGGAAGCCATTGCCGCCTTAATTGCAGCCACTATTCCCGACGACCGACCAATAGCCATCTTCACCGACTCCGCTAGTGTGGTTGGAATCCGTTACGAGCAAACATCCTTGGATCCTATACAGGAACACGCGCCAAACAACACAGTCTTTGTGTGGATACCTGGACACTGCGGGGTCCATGGTAACGTAAAAGCGGACCAACTAGCCAACTCAGGTCGGTGTATGGCCAAGTACACGCGAATTGTACCTGGTCCGGACCTCAAAAAATGGGTATCAAAAATCAGCAACGAAGGTTGGGCTCGCGATTGGGCGGCCAGTGAAACCCCTGCCATCAGAAAAATTAAAAGAGACATCTCCAGGTGGGCGGACCCACCGATACATCGAGAGCAGGTCATAGTATCCCGACTTCGAACACATCATACAAACATCTCCCACAACTACAAGGGAGACGGACCTTTCCATAGGATCTGTGATCTATGCCGAATTCCACAAACGGTGCCACGGTCCTAAATACGAAGCACCAAGAACCCGCTACGACATCCCGGGAAGCATCAGCGATGCCCTCGGTAACGATCCTACCAGAATTACAGCCCTTTTAGCTTTCCTGCGGGAAGCTGAGCTGTTCGATCTAATCTGATCACCTAACTCACCATCATCATCATCACCACCATACCAGATCACACTCGGAACCAGAATCTCACAACTAACCACCCACATCAGCAACTATACAGACCAGCGCAACGAAAACGGAATTCTCCCACAAAATGACAGTATTAAGACAGTCACTAAGCAACTAAGGGACCCTTATCGGAGCCCCACCCTCGGAGGTTCCCTTCCAGGACCACCAAATTAAAAACTCCGTAGCTAAAAACTCTGTTTCTGGGGCCCCACGTCCTTTTTCGGAAATCCCCTCTGAGATCCAAACTATGTTGTTAAGGTAATTTCCCTCTGGAATTCCCACCCCCCTCAAATAGGGAATTCCCCCTCTGGGATTCCCAGAGACGAACCAGCCCAAGGCTGAAAGTCTATTTAATATAGGAAAAAAAAAAAAGTTGGGAGAGTCTGCGCTTTAAGCTCTAAAGCCTAGTATACATGTTCAAATAGCTCGGAGTCGATTGTAGTAATCCCCTGACGACTGACAGTTTGCGCAGGTGAACGCCACTTCATCCAAGTGAACATTTTTAACTAAAGATTGTACTCGAAAAAAATGGAACACTTTCTTTTGAGTAAAACTAGTTTAGAGTGTAATGTTTACATGTGCAAAATCTCGTCACAATCTGTCAAGTGGCTATCGAGGTGGCTTCCAAGCAAGAAGTGCTTCGGCAAAAAAAAAAAAATATGGGAGCGGTCGTGGAAAATCCAGGTCAGTCCAACCGGTGGATCGCGAAACAGTTTGTTTATTTGTTTATTTGGTTCTACATCAACAGACTGGGGCTTAGTCCTAATGCTGGATTAAAGGATGACTCCACAAAGGATCCAGGTGATTTAACTGGCACCGACTTTCGTAGCTTGCAAGGCGATAAGGATCCCTCCAACGCAATCGTCGAAGGGCAAACCAGATGAATCGTCGTTGAATAGACTCTACTCTTTGTACACTGTTTTGGTAATTGGGATTCCATACAGGGCAGCAGTATTCTAACACCGACCGGACGAGGGAGCAGCAAAGCGACTTCAAACAGTAGATGTATGTGAGTTGACAATCTAAGATGACTCCCAAATCCTTAATGTGATTCACACGATGTACGTCAACGCCTTCTAGGATATAACTGAATGTAATTGGACGTTTTTCCGTGAGAACGTGATTACTGCACATTTTGTTGGATTTAAAGGGTGATACGGTCAA